AAACATGTGACTTAAGAAAGACAAAAATCTTCTTATTGTGTATCATATTCGGACAAAGATACTCTTTTCTTTACTCAAACTGTCAATGTTCATATCATGATGGCGTTAATTAGGGGTATAATTAGTGACCAAATTAATTATAGCTATTAAATTAGTTATTAATTTTAATATTAGATTATAACTATAATTAATTAAATTCACAGCTAAAATCTATAAAGTAAATCCAAATATAATTTTCTAGTATAATTTAATTAAACTTTATGTAAGAAAATACTAATTTCAAAGGGAACGACTACAATATCGCACCAAAAATTATAATTTTTTAGCACTAAATTATAATTTTTTTGAAGTGTACATTATAATTTTAAAAGGTATAATCGATCATGAAAGGTTGAGATCGATACCAACAACTCATGATCGATCACGATGATGGTGTTATGACCTTCAATTGAGCAATTATAACTTAACATTTCAAAGATATAATCTGAAATATAAAACAGTTCAGTCTTTAATAATTTTATCTGACGATTTCAAATAGATTCATCCAACAGTTATTAACATCCCTCTCAAAATCATTCATATATACACCGTCTTTTTAAATATGAATTATTCCTAATTTTATTATAAAAAATAATAATCAGCAGTATGATATTGAATTTTTTTTTTCTCGGTATCGTAGGCTTTTCCAATTTTCCAATAGTAGATGAAACTTTAAAGATAAAGAAACAGTGTTGGAATTCCTAATATCCATGCTCAGCAATATTGGCCACACGTGTATAAAACGAACGGTGCCGATACACCCAACCACATCACATATTGATCCCGTCCAAATCACGGATCACACAAATGACGTTGTTCGTAACCAAAGCAGCTACGACGGCATTTTCGTCCTTACAAATTAAAGACGAGGACCTTTTAGTCATTCCGTCCTCTTAAAATCAAAAATTCATCACTAACGTCACTCGTGATGTGTTATATAATAACAGAAACATCCCTTCTACTTTTGATAATATTACTGACTCCCACTGTCATTAATCTTCAACTAACTTTTAAGGACAAGTTCCAATTAATAATAATTGAGCAATGTTATTATGACATAGTTTAAGGACATAATGTAGTGTGACTAATGAAGTGATAGTAGAATGCATTTTATGCTGCAACGAGTCTCATGATTAAATACATTCCAATATCTTCTATAAATTACAATGTATTATGTTCCAATAACATTAGTAATATTATATTTACCAAAGTTTTCATTCTAAGTGATGTGATACAATCTTCATTGTTGAATTTTAATATGATTCACTTATTTTGATGGTGAAAACAATGTCACATTACTTAAGATGAAAAACTTGGTAAGAAATCTTGATAAACATAACATTGTTGGTGATCAAACTCAATTGTCTTTTTGGAATCCTAGGCATGGTAGCACAATATACCAATGCTCAATCCGCACCTTCACTTGAAGGGAGTGACTCAATCTCAATGGCTTCACTTTTTATATTATAATTTGTGTTGTTGTTTGTAGGTATGGAGTTAAAAGAGGTTGACACACGTGCCTATAGAAAAGATAATTGAAGGGGATGTGTAGGATAAACGGATGCTATGGAAGGAACTCGAGTAACCACTTAATGAAAAGACCAACTAGTTGGACAGAGGGTAGGTGGATAGAGTGAAATGCTCTCCCTTGCCAAAAATCTCATCCTCTTGAGTGGGCAAGTAATGAGAGTATTTATCGCATAGTGCCCGAGCAAATTAGGCTGCTCTCTACGACCCCCCTAAAATTCGTGTTAGTTCATAATTGTCTCGATCACGGTGATACCAGTGGTTGTTAATCACAAGCCACATGTCCCAACATTAACAACACAAATGTGATGTTTTCCTAAACGAAGCCTAAACGCGAGTTCGGAGAGGGTGCGATAGTCAAGGTGAAAGGGGGCTTCCAAGGTTAATGATTGCGAATGGTTGTCGCAAGGCCATGACCTTGAGAGTGCCATATACGCGATGCCCCCAACGTGCTCTTACCTAGGGGCCTTCATTCCTTCTCTGAACCCTTTCTCGAGACCTTTGTCCATGTGCCCGATAGAAGAAACCCCCATAATTTCGATCTTTCATCCACCAATCCACATGTCTCATTATCTTATATGTTGATTTGGACCAATATCCCTAATTACCTTAGGAGCCCCTCCAAATCTCAGTCAAGCATATCTTAGTGGGCAGTTGAACCATATATTAGAAGGTCTACTTGAGTAAACTAAACCTTCGAGACTCTGCCCCAAGCTAAAGTTGACGATCATGTTCGTATGCCCCCCCGTTGCTTAGTTCTCCCTTGAGGAGGGTCATATTGCCTTGTCTCTAGGTGGGGACCCCTTGTCTTAGTCCAACGAGCCAGTCTAGCAACGATGTTTATTAGGTTGAGAATAATACTCCCATAGTTGGGAATACGAGTCTCGCTGAGGTTACCTTAGACTTATGCAGTTCCACTCTTGTCAACCCTTGGTGAAGGGTTCATTTTGTCATTTTGAATGCGATTGGGATGTGTTTTGCCCCTATTGCGGTGTTTGCACCTAGGGGGTGTCGCACCTGACACTGTTATCCATACTAGTCCAATTAGAACCCGTCATGCTTATTTCCATGTTAGCTGATAATTGCTGTCACTTGTTTTGTTATGGTATAGACACGTGTTCTGATATTATCAAGTATTACATTGTTCTTTTTCAATTAACCTATAATTAAATCCCTTGTAAGAAAAATTGAACACTAGTGACCCTAATAGTGTTTGATGGTGACGTATATGCGCGTGTAAAGATGATGATGATTATAGGATGGGTTCTATGGGGAGTTGGTGGTGTGGTGTTTTGGCAATGAAGTATGGTTTAGGGGGGAGAGTATGGGTGAAGATGATGGTGACAATGTGTATGTGAAGGGGAGGCAATTGTATAGTGAAATGTGCATACATGAGGGGCTATGTGTGTGTGTGTGAAAAGAGAAGGAAGAGGGGCAATGGTGATAATGGCAAATTGGGTGCGAGCATGAGGATGGGTTCTGGATTGAGGTTGAGTTTGGATTTAATTTAAAACAATTTATTAAGCAAAACAATAACAAAACAAGTGAAAATACTATATTTATTTAGTTAATTTAAAGACATTGATAGGCAAAACGAGTACCTATTTTTTTTTTTTTAAAATGAAGGACATCCTTGTATTTATGGCAATCAACATAGGTAAATCTCAAGGGGCATAGCCTAGTAGAGTTAAGGATTACTTGTAAATGGAGACATTATGAATTTAAACTTGGTAACTTCCTTGAAGTTAAACCATGAGTAATTTATCTTTTATAAATTCCCTAGTCTCAACTAGGGTTGATAATTGAATGAGTTCGAGCCGAGCCTAAAATACTTATTTTCTTAACCGAGTCTAAAACATTGTTCAAGTTCCGTTCGTTTGTTAAACGAGCTCAAAACGAGCTAAACCTGAGTCCGAGTCTGAGTATTTATATATAAACGAGTCGAGCCTGTCAAATTATAGCTGAGTTTGTCAGACTTATTTTTCAAATCAACTTAAAAAATTATTCAAATTCAACTCATTTAGAAAATAAATCGAGTTTGAACGAGGCAAAAACGAGCCAAATCCGAGTTGAGCTCAAATGGTTCAGTTTGATTAATAAACCTAGTCCTAACGTTGATAATCTATATTTGACTGGACCAGAGAGGAGACTAGTCAAGTTGTACGTAAACTAATCCAAATACTTTGACCGTAATATAAAAAAGGTAGTCAACATAGGCCCAAAAAATTATTCATGAGTGAGTGTGCCTGTTATACTTAGATAACTTAGGGGGAGTCACTGATATTCTTCCTTTTGAAACCGAACTTGTATAATATGCCCTTAGGTTATTTACGAGGCCACATATTTGCTTGACATGCCCCACGTTTTTTTGTATTAGAAAACAGTGCGAGGTTTCGGTTTGGACACCACAGGGCCACGGGCACTGCATATAGATAGAGAGAGAAACCAAGAGAGAGACAGAGACAGAAGCACAGCGAGAGATGGATTGATAGATAGCTGTGTAGAATCAAAGCTCGTGGATAGATTACAAAACTCTCTACCTAGAAATTTATCTCCTTGCTAACCCTAGCAAAAAGTTTCCATCTTTTCCTCAGATGCATCTGTACGTTTCTTTCTTTTTGAGCTTCAGATACTAGTATTTATAGGACGGAAAAAAAGATAAAAATTAAGTAGAAAATGTCAGGTTTGTTTCACTAAAGATCTGTGACCACCGATCGGTTCATAGAAATCAATCTTGAAATTCTGAATGAATTGATTTTGAAAGTATCTGAATCCGATCCTTCGGATTTTGCAGTTTCTGAGGTATGATCTGTGAGTCCTTTTTTTTTATAATCTTGTTTCCTCGTTCAATGTACAAAGAATCTTCGGAGTTTAGAACTTGTTTGATGATCGGTACAAGTTTTTGTGATGAGTTTATGGTGATCGGACTAGATTTTTTTGGGTTTGCAAAGATTTTGTGTTTTTGAAGCCGGTTTAAACTTATGGTTTATTACAGTTTTGTTGATTGTTTGAATCTTTTTACCAAATCTGTGTTTGCTTGATATGGTGAAGATCTTATTTTTTCGCTGAGTTCAATTACTGGTTATAAAAATAGAAGGATTTTTGTAGTTCAAAGTGGAATAGATAGTTGTTTGATTAATGCATGTATCTTTGTAGCTGCATTTGCTTTCAATATTTCCTTCTGTCGGGAAAAAATATATTTTGCAGCACACACTAAAAAGAATCTATCTATCTAGAGCCTTCGACCTTCTCTTTTTTGGTGGACCTTGTATGTGTAGGAGATTATTTTCCATTATTTTCTCATATATCTATTGATTTTTAAGTAGGCTCCTTTTGTTTCTTTTTCTGCTATAATCTTTATGTGAGTTTTGTTATTGAGAATCAAATTAATTAACATCATCATGGTTGTGGAGTAAACCCCAAACTTTTATGAAATGCAGCTGATATCTGATGCTTTAGAATCTGATATTCCTTCAGAAGAGAGGTTGGTGAGGTTCAGCGTTGTTCCTTGAAGGGAATTTTCATGCATTGTTAACTCTAACATTTCGGGTTTTAACGTGTCTCTTTTGTTGCATATGCTTTGTTTTGTTGTCTGTAGGTTACTGAAGATCTGAAGGATACTGTGGGACTTGAGTTGGATGTGATTTGCATGGGGTGAGGATGCCAGAGTTGCGAAGTGGTGCTCGGAGATCAAAACGGCTAGGTGATCTTCAGGCTGCACCTCAACCGTTGACCAAGTAGAGAATTTTCTCTTGCCTACTCAGAAACAAACCAGAAGGAGAGCTGCTGGAGGAGGAAGAGGAAGGGGTTGTAATGTCACAGCTGTAGCAAAAGGGCCATCAGCAGCGGTACCTGCCAGGCCAACAGCTGCGGGTAGGGGCAGGGGGATTAGGCTGATAGATTTAGACCCAGAGCCACCTTGTGAGGTTCTTCCAGAAGCTGCTGCCGTCGGGGCAGGTGAACCGGTTTTTAATAGAATTGACGGAGTCGCAGGTAAAGATATTGCAATGGATGGTGGAAGTGCAGACAAAATAGTGGGAGTTGAGGAAGAAGCAAGCACAACTCCCGTACCTGAAAGGGTATCTTCCTGTTTGCTCATTATTCCTTTCCAAAGTTTTTTTATTTCTGCAATATCATAATTGTTACACGATGAATGGATGTGAAACTGCTTAGAAAAACTAATGTTGCTATTATGCCCATTGTTCTTCCTTCAGCAATCAATATATAGTCCAAGATAAGATTTTTGTGAAAGTTTTTTCCTCCAACTAGGAGTTTCTTATAGGAAACTATTTCCGCTTTTTGAGTACAGGTACAGGTGGGGGGCTCTCCTGTATATAAGACAGAAAGGAAGTTGGGTAAGGGAGGTTTCGGCCAAGTTTATGTTGGCCGAAGGGTAAGTGGTGGCACCGAGAGAACAGGACCAGATGCGACTGAGGTACTATTTCACACATCATAACTGTGCATGTGATTTCAGTGGCCATATCCTTTTAAAGCTGACATGCAAGATTCTTTTCGTAGGTTGCATTGAAGTTTGAGCACAGAAATAGTAAGGGTTGCAACTATGGGCCTCCTTATGAGTGGCAAGTGTACAAGTAAGCACCATATTTAAATTTCATGATGCATATGATGCTGTATTTTCTCAAACTTCAGATGTCTTAGATTCATTATTCCCATTTGTTGACTAAAAAGCACGCTGAATGGATGTTATGGCATTCCATGGGTCCACTACAAAGGTCGCC